GAAGAAAGGAGCAGACGCTTCACAGACAGAACAGAGAGAAACTGGCACAGAAGGTTTATATGATCCCTAGCCCAAGACACAAGGTAGCTGGTGCAGGCCAGAACTGGGTGCTGGAGCTCATGCTTCTGAGGACAGACCTGGGGAAAAGACTGGGGCTGACTGCAGAAGTTGACTCAAGGGGCTGGAGTGTCATGTGAGCTGAAGCTGGCAGTGTATGGAAAAGAGCTTGGGTCCACCATAGAAATCACCACTGCTAGTATGCCTTGGTGGGGAGTGGCACAAGGCAGACCAGCCTAACATCCATCTCCCTTAGCCCGAAGGAGTTGCTCAACACCATTGTTGGTGCACACTCTCATGAACAGAAGATCAGGATACAGACATATCAATCTTCTCAGCTTGCATTGGAGAGGAACAATCACTGTGCATGTCTCTCAGGTAGAGGTGGTGCTAACCCTGAACCCATTCTACAGAGTCCCACAACTTCACAGGCAGGGCTGAGATTTAAGTCGAGCCCCAGGTGGCTGTGGCAGATTTGTTCTGCTGGTGTCTTTGTCATCTCAGAGACTCTGAGACATCCTAGCAGAGTTCTGGTGTGTAACAGAGTTGGGTCTGGTGATAACAGAGGATGTGCATATGTTGAGGCAGGGCTGGGGTCTGGGTTAACTCTGTGGCTTATGGTGGATACTGGTGCATGACTGCATTTGCACTATGGCAGGTCCCAGTGCCTGATATTGGCAGATCTGCATTGGTGACTTTGTGGGAGCAAAGCCTAGGGGACACAAGGGCAGATTGCCAACATTCCCCAATCTGAGGCAGAGACAAGGGCAGTGTCAACAAAATTTACTTTGTAAGTCTGCACAGTTAGTGCCAGGAGACACCACAGAGGGCACTTCCTGGTGGAAATCACCTAAGGAGAAATACTTAATAGATCCTCATCCAGCACAAGTGCTCCAGTCCCACCTACCACACACCACAGCTCAAAAATGGGTCTAGGTGCCTCTATTCCAACAAAAGGGAGCAGAAGCAGGCCCTGTCAAAGCTGTGATAACCACAGAGCAAAGAGAAGGTCCCACTCAACAAACAGTGCGGGCTGTATTCACCAAAACACCAATCACACCCCTATCAAGAGGATAACAGCCAGCACACATGGAGGAAAGATGTGGCAGCCAGCCATAATAAAAATAGCTCTCACAACAAAAAATCTAGATGCACATGTGCTACACAGGGTGACTCCCAATAAAAATAGCCCTTCAAGGCCACAGTACACAACTGATACTCCTAAATTCATAGTCAGAGAAATATAAGTAAAATGAAGGAGCTGATGAACCACTACCAATTAAAAGAACAAAAGAAGTCCACTGAAAGAACAAGAAATGACATAGACATTAACAGGTTACCAGAACTCTGAGTTTAAAAAGGAGGTGATAAAGGCAAAGAAGGAAATTAAAGCCTATCAATAGAAATGCAGAATACTATAAAAAGGAAATAGAAACTATAAAAAGGAGCCAATTAAAATCAGAAAACTCAATTTCTGATATAAAAGCCAAGCTAATGACAGTCAATAGCAGACTAAATAATGCAGAACAAATAAGTATTTAGAAGATAGAATAAAGGAAATCACTCAATCAGAACAGCAGGTAGAAAAACTAATGAAAACAAATGTCAGCAATATTAGGGGCTTATTAGATAGTTTTACACATGCTAATCTACACATAATAGGCATTCCAGAAAGAGGAGAAACAGATAAGGGGTTTGAAAATGTATTTGAAGAAAGCATGACTGAAACCTTCTCAAACCTAAGGATGGAAACAGATATCCAAGTACAGAAAACACAGAGGGTCCCAGACAAGAAGAACCCAAATAGACTTACACCAAAACATATTATAATTACGATGGTCAAAGTTAAAAATAAAGAAAAGATTTTAAAGAGAGTAAGAGGAAAACAAAGAGTTAGTCACAAGGGAACCCCAAAAATGTCTTTAAGTTGATTTCTCTAAACAAGCACTGCTGGCCAGAAGAGAGTGTCAAGATTTAGTCAAAGTTCTGAAAGAAAAAACCCTGCAACCTAGGATACTCTACTCAGCAAGACTATACTTTAGAATAGAAGAAGTAAATAATTTTTCAGACAGTCTAAAACTAAAAGGGTACTACCCTAAAAGAAATGTTAAAAGGTCTTTTATAAAATGAAATAAAAGGAAAAAAATCTATAGAAAAGAGAAAAACACAATTGGAAATATAACTACAATGAAGAGCAAAATAATGTGAAGATGTAAAAGAGGGCAACAAAATCATAAAATATGGATGAAGGAAACAAGCAAATGTAGTTTTTTTGTGTTTTTTTATTCTTTTTAAAATATGTGTGAGCTATATGATAACCAGTCTAAAGCAAGGAAATATAATAATGGATTAACATACTTGAAAACAAGGGTAATCATGAATCAAAACCATACAACAGAGTCACAAAAATCAAATAGAAAAGAAATCAAGCTAATACAAAATGAAAAACAAAAGAAACAGAAAAGAATAAAGGAGAAATACAAAAACAACTGGAAAACAAGTTTTAAAATGGCAATAAACACATTTATCAATAATTACTTTAAATGTCAATGGACCAAATGCTCCAAACAAAAGACATAGAGTGGCAGAATGGATTAAAAACAGAAAAAGAAGAAGGAGAAGTAAAAGAAGAATTTACAATATACTGCCTACAGGAGACCCACTTTAGGATGAAGGACACACATAGACTGAAAGTGAGAGTATAGAAAAAGATATTTCATGAAAATGGAAATGATACAAAAGTAAGGGTAGCAATATTCATCTCAGAGAAAATAACACTTTAAAACAAAGGCCATAAAGAAAGATAAAGAGGGATACTACATAATGATCAAAGGAGCAATACAAGAAGATGATACTGTACTTGTTAACATATGCACCCAATATAGGGGCAGAGAAATATATAAAACAAATGCTAACAGACATAAAGGAAGAAACTGGTGGGAACACAACATCATTGGAAAAATTTTTCAGACAGAACATCAATAAAGCAGCTGAGATACTAAATCACAAAACAGAAATGTTACACTTTATATTTTCAGGATATTACATCAAAAAAAAAAAGAATACAAATTCTTTTCAAGCGAATATAGAATATTCTTTAGGACAGACCACACATGCAAACACAAAAGGAGCCTCAATGAATTTAAAAGGACATAAATCATTTCAAGCATCTTTGCTGACCACAGTGCCATAAAACTAGAAAATAACCACAGAAAAACAAATGAGAAAAAAAGACTGAATGGAGACTAAAAAACATGCTACTAAAATATGAATGGGTTAATGATGAGATCAAAGAGAAATTTTAAAATACCATGAGGCAAATGACAATAAAAACACAATCACACAAAATCTATGGGATGTAGCAAAAACAATCTTAAGGTTGAAGTTCATAGTGATACAGGCTTTCCTCAAAAAAGAAGAACAATCTCAAATAAACAACTTAACCTACCACCTAAAAAATTAGAAAAAGAGACAAAAGAAAACCTAAAGTTAGCAGAAAGAAGAAAATGATAAAGATCAGGGAGGAAATAAATTAAAAAGGGATCTAAAAAAAGAAAAAAATAATAATTCAAACCAAGAGCTAGTTTTTTGAAAGAGGAAGCAAAATTGACAAACCAGGCTCACCAAGAAAAGAGGGAGAGCACGTAGAAACAAAATAAGAAATGAACATGAAGAAATTATAACCAACTCCACAGAAATAAAAAAAAAATGGTAAGAGAATACTGTAAACTAATATATGGCAACAAACTGAACCCTGAAACTAGAAAAAAGCGGACAAGTTTCTAAACAAATACAGTCCACCAAAATTGAATCAAGAAGAAACAGATAATTGAACAGACTAATAACCTGAACTGAAATAGAATCAGTAATAAAAACCTCCTTCCTAACAAGAGTCCAGGAATAGATGGCTTCATTGGGGAATTCCACCAAATATACAAAGAAGAACTTATACCAAGCCTTCTCAGACTCTTCCAAAAGATTGAAAAAGAAGGAACACACCCAAACCATTCTATGAAGCCACCATCACTCTGATACAAAAACCAGATAAAGACACTACCAAATTAAAAAAAAAAAAAGTCATAGGACAGCATCTTTGATGAATATAAATGCAAAATTCTCAACAAAATATTAGCAAACAGACTTCAACAACACATTAAAAACATTATGCACTGTTTCAAGTTGGATTCATCCCTGAGATACAAGGATATTTTATCATACACAAATCAATGTGATATACTACATCAACAAAAGAAAGAACAAAAATCCCATGGTCATTTCAATAAATGCTGAAAAAGCATTTGATAAAATTCAACACCCATTTATGATAAGAAATCTTATGAAAGTAAGTATAGAAGCAACATATCCCAACATAATAAAAGCTTCTTATGACAAACCCACAGTCAGCATACTACCCAATGGTGAAAAACTCTAAGCCTTCCCACTAAAATCTGGAACAAGACAAGGACACACACTTTCACTACTTCTATTCAACACAATATTGGCAGTCCTAGCCATAGCAATCAGATGAACAAAATAAATAAAAGGGATTCAAATTGGAAAAGAAGAGGTAAAACTGTCACTATATGAAATGTGATGCTATGTATAGAAAACTTTTAAAGCTCCATACAAAAATTACCACAGGTAGTAAAACAATTTGGCAAGGTAGCAGGATACAAGATTAACATACAGAAATGAGTTGCCTTTCTTTACACTAACAATGAAATATCAGAAAAGGAAAGTAAAGACACAATCTCTTTTAAAATTGCATCAAAAATAAAAATAAAATGCTTAGGAATAAACCTGACCAAAGAGGTAAAAAGTTTAAACACAAAGAACTACAAAGCATTGATTAAGGAAATTAAAGATGATTTAAAGAAATGGAAAGGTATTCCATGCTCTTGGATTAGAAGAATTAATATTGTTAAAAAGGTCATACTACCCAAAGCAATCTGCAGATTTAATGTGATCCTTATCAAATTACTCAGGATATTTTTCACAGAAATAGAACAAACAACCCTAAAGTTTATATGGTATCACAAAAGAACCAGAATTGCCAAATCAATACTGATTTAAAAACAACAACAAAGCAAAACAAAACAAAACAAACAAACAAAAACAAAGCTGGTGGAATAACCTACTCAGACTTCAGACAATACTACAGAGCTACAGTCATCAAAACAGCATGGTATTGGTACAAAAAGAGACACGGACATATGGAACAGAATAGAGAGACCAGAAATAAGCCCATAGACTTATGGTCAATTAATCTTCAACAAAAAAGGAAAGAGTATACAATGGAGAAAAGACAGTCCCTTCAGCAAGTGTTGAAAAAAACTGGAGAGCCACATGTAAATCAATGAAGTTAGAACAATCCCTCACACAATACACAAAAATAAACTCAAAATGGCTTAAAGACTTAACCATAAGACAAGATACTATAAACCTCTTATATGAAAACATGAGCAAATATTCTCTGACATAAATCTTGAGCAATCTACTCCTGGGGCAATTTACACAGACAATAGAAATAAAAGCAAAAAGAAGCAAATGGGATCTATTAAACTTATAAGTTGTTGCACAGCAAAGGAAACTATAAACAAAAACAAAAAGACAACCTACAGAATGGGAGAAAATATTTGCAAATGATGCAACAGAAAAGAGCTTAATTTCCACACTATACAAACAGCTCACACAACTTAGTAACAAAAAAAACAAACCAAAACAAAACAAAAACAAAAACAAAATAATCCAAAAATGGGAAGAAGACCTAAACAAGCAATTCTCCAATGAAGTCATAAATTACAAATAGGCACATGAAGAAATGCTCGACATCACTAAGTATCAGAGAAATGCAAATCAAAACTACAATGAGATATCACCTCACACCAGTCAGAATGGCCAACATTAAAATGTTCACAAGTGATAAATGATGGAGAGGGTGTGGAGAAAAGGGTACCTTCTAACATTGTTGGTGGGAATTTAGTTTGGTGCATTTATTATGGAGATTTCTCAGAAAACAAAAAATAGACTTACCATATGACCCAGTAATCCCACTACTGGGTGTATATATCTGTAGGGAACTCAAATTCAAAAAGGTGCATGCACTCCAATGTTCATAGCAGCACTATATACAATAGCCAAGACACTGAAGCAACCTAAATATTTATTGGCAGATGACTGGATAAAGAAATTGTGGTATATTTATACAATGGAATACTACTCAGCCATGAAAATAATAAAATAATGCTGTTTTCAGCAACATAAATGGACCTGGAGATTGTCATTTTAAGTGAAGTAAGTCAGAAAAAGGAAGAAAAACACCATATATCACTTACATGCAGAATCTAAAGAAAAATGACAGAAATTAACTTATTTAGAAGGCAAATTCTAAGCCACAGATATGAAAAACTTATGGTTACAAAGTGTGTAGGAGGTGGATGGAGGGGTAAATTGAGAGTTCAGGATTTGCAGATACCAACTACTATATATATAAAATAGATAACAAACTTCTGCTTTATAACACAATGACTATATTTAATATCTTATAATAACCTATAAAGAAAAGTAATATAGAAAGTAATATCTATATATAAAACTGAAACAGCATGCTGTACACCATAAAACAATATGTTTTATACAGACTATTTTTCAATTAAAATTATAAAAAGACATCACAGCAGACAACTGGAAATGCTTAAACAATGTAAATGTAGAAATGAAAGATTTTATAGTATCTAAATTATAAAATTTGCTAAGTGGACTTAAAGCAGAATACATATCACAAAGAGTGAGTGAATTTACTTATGGTTTCCTTTGCTGTGCAGAAGCTTGTAAGTTTAATTAGGTCCAATTTGTTTATTCTTTCTTTTATTTCTATTGCTTGGGTAGACTGCCTTAGGAGAGCGTTTCTGAGATATATGTCAGATAATGTTTTGCTTATATTTTCTTCTAGGAGTTTGATTGTATCTTGTCTTATGTTTAAGTCTTTGATCCATTTTGAGTTGATTTTTGTGTATATTGTAAGGGAGTCTTCTAGCTTCATTGCTTTACATGCTGCTGTCCAGTTTTTCCAACACTCTTTGCTGAAGAGACTGTCTTGATTCCATTGTATATTCTTGGTCCTTATGTCAAAGATTAGTTGACCCAAAGTTTGTGGGTTCATTTCTGGGCTCTCTAATCTATTCCGTTGGTCCATATGTCTGTTTTTGTACCAATACCATGTTGTCTTGATTACTGTAGATCTGTAGTATTGTCTGAAGTCTGGGAGAGTTATTACTCTAACCTCTTTCTTTTTCTTCAGTAATGCTTTGGCAATTCTAGGTCTTTTGTGATTCTATATAAATTTCATTATGATTTGTTCTAGTTCTGTGAAATTTGTCCTGGGTAATTTGATAGGGATTGCATTCAATCTGTAGATTGCCTTGGGCAGTATGACCATTTTAACAATATTGATTCTTCCAATTCAGGAGCATGGGATATCTTTCCATTTTTTTAAGTCTTCTTTAATTTTCTTAATCAGTGTTTTATAGTTTCCTGTGTATAAGTCTTTCAACTTCCTAATTAGATTTACTCTTAGGTTTTTTTTTTTACTTTGAGTGCTATTTTAAAGGGGACAGTTTCTTTACTTTCTTTTTTCTGTTGATTCATTGTTAATGTAAAGAAATGGAACTGATTTTTGAACATTAATCTTGTAAGTTGGTACCATGCTGAATTCTTCAATCAGCTTTAGTAGTTTTTGTGTGGACCTTTTAGGGTTTTCTATATATAGTATCATGTCATCTGCATATAGTGACACTTTTACCTCTTCTTTTCCAATTTGGATCCCATTTATTTCTCTCCCTTGCCTGATTGCTGTGGCTAGGACTTCCAAGACTATGTTGAATAGGAGTGGTGATAGTGGGTATCCTTGCTTTGTTCCAGATTTTAGTGAGAAGATTTTGAGTTTTTCACTGTTAAGTATTATGCTGGCTATAGGTTTGTCATATATAGCTTTTATTATGTTGAGATATGTTCCCTCTATACCCATTTTGGTGAGAGTTTTTATCCTAAATGGGTGTTGAATTTTATCAGAAGATTTTTCTGTATCTATTGAAATGATCATGTGATTTTTGTCCTTTCTCTTGTTGATGTGATGTATTACATTGATTGATTTGCATATGTTGAACCACCATTGTGTCCCTGGGATGAACTCCACTTGATCATGATGTATAATCATTTTTATGTGCTCTTGGATTCTATTTGCTAGTATTTTGATAAGGACTTTTGCATCTATGTTCAACAGTGATATTGGCCTGTAATTCTCTTTTTTGGTGGTGTTTTCACCTGGTTTTATAAGCAGCACATATGACTTAATAAGAAAAAAACAAACAACCCAATCCAAAAATGGACAGAAGGCCTAAACAAGTAATTCTCCAAGTAAGAAATACAAATGATCAATAGGCACATGAAAAAATGCTCAACATCACTAATTATCAGAGAAATGCAAATCAAAACTACAATGAGGTAGCACCTCACACCAGTCATAATAGCCATCAATCAAAAGTTCACAAATGACAAATGCTGAAGAGGCTATGGAGAAAAGGGAACCCTCCAACACTGCTGGTGGGAATGCAGTTTGGTGCAGCCACTGTGGAAAACAATATCGAGATTCCTCAAAAAACT